AGCCACCATGAACATCATTGCATGGTGGCTTGCAAAAACTAATCCTTACAAACCAAAACTATAGAAAGTTAATCTGATGCTCGCTATTGGCTTGCTACAGGTTGGAGTTTCCTGAGTTCTAGTGAGGAGTCGTGACCAGTGAGGTCCAATTAGATGTCACGTGTGTAGATAGATGTCCCACCAACGACAATGGTTGGGGTCGCGCTAAATCACGAATTAGTAGAAGTTAGAATTCACGAGCCATTGGATCGGGTCCCAGTGGCTGAATGGTATACGATCTTGCCTTTTAACCGGAAGGTCCTGGGTTCGAAACCCAGTGGGTGCGTACTGCCGATGATTCCCAAACTAGGATGAAACAGCAGCTGTCCAGTACTCCCTGGTTTTCAATGGTTCTCTAACTGATATCAATCCGTGATCAACTCGTAAAAGTGAAATTGCCTATATGTTTACTCGGCTGTTGGTCGCAGGTCTTTCGAGATATGTTGTCCCAACCGATGAGCAGTTGCTGGGAGCTAGCGGCAATTGTATGATTTAGAAAAAGAAAGGCAAGAAGAAAAGAATTGATTCATCTTTTGTAAACTCCAATGGGACGAATTATAACTATGACACTTTCTATTTTGCTCGCGTGACAACCATACATCTGAAGCAATGTCATGTATGTAGTGTCTATATTGCCGTCTTACCTCTGTACTCGAGTCATCAGTGGTTAGTTGACTTCACTGTTTGTGCAGTATGTGTGTATTTAATTATTGAACTTGCCTACAACTATGTCATCTCATGGTATGAAAGTTATGGTCGAAATCAAACTACACCAACCAGTACTACAGTGAAACAGTCTACATCTCCGGTACCTCTTAGTTTTTGATTTTGATGTGGTTTTGTTCTCTGAGCTGGATGGAATTGACGTCGTACACAAACCAACAAAGCCGCTGCACTGAATTCTATGTCAGCCGAAAGACTCAATAGCGAAAGAAGACAAAACCAACATCATCTACAAAATAAACTGTAACAACTGCGAAAAACACTACATTGGCCAAAGTGGACGTCCCCTTCGTATCTACGAACATAAGCTAGCCGTCAAAAGACATGATATCCACTCCCTCATTTCACTACACACAGACAACTACGGACATCAATTCGAGTGGGACAACGTTCAAATATTAGACAAAGGAAATAACAAGAATGCTAGAGAATTTTTAGAAGCCCGCCTGGCATTCCAGTGGATCATCAATCAATAGACACATCGAGATAGACAAAATTTATCAACCAATAAGAAAGAAACTTCACACACATACAAAGGGTCAAAGTTCAAGTCAAAGAAACAACCGGTTCCAATACAAGTAACCTAGAAGGTGTGAAAACACACACAAACAACCAATCACGTCCAAGGTCATTAGGAGGAATGATTAATAAACTCGTGGAGAAATCTAAAAGCTCACTTCAAATTGAAGTATGCGCTGAAGATGTCAACCAGTAAGGTGATAAAAGCTTCGCAAACTAACCATCCAGCTCAGAGAACAAAACCACATCAAAATCATCCACCTGAGCTACAAATCTTCTCTATCATATCTACCTCTTAGTTTGCGTATTAATTTGAGCCTAGTTTGGATAACGATAAGCCTTTGATCCACTATTCGCACACTTATTTCTCTGACTGCAATATATTTCCGATCTCAAAATAGTAACCCTAGAATTGAATTCCATCCTTCCAAGCCTACTACAAATGGCATATCTACAAATAAAACTCCAGGTGAATGTATACTCATTCTTGCAGCTGCATTATTATTCCTTATCTCTCCGACTTTGTTTCTTTCTCTTAATGGCACATTTGTGGATTTCGGCCTCCAAGCTGTATATGGAAATAATGACTTTTGGAGAGGTTTCATCGTCAAATACTGTCCTCTTGTTAATCTTCACCCCGCCTAGTTACAATTTGATTATTCGTCAGATTTTGTTATGAATTCTTGTCTGATGAACTTAATGAACAAACGACATACATACAAAAATAATTATTTTTTTCCCAACAGGCTGTAAATAATCATCAATAGTTGCCTTCAGTCGATAGGGAAGATCTGGTGGTCAACTGGAACTGATCTGTAATCAACAGGAAACTGTGCCAATGAACCAAGCGATAACCACCTATCACCCCAGAAATATGCCAAACGGAAGGGAGATAGATTGGACATTACGCATGTGGTGAGAGCAGCCTGCTAGTCAATTGGTTGACATTAATCTACGTCAATGTCTAGGTCACTAATATGGGCCGTGAGAAAATATGAACAAGGCTGTTTCAACAACCAATCACAGCAAACTTTAACGTGGGCAAATATGATTCACAGATAGATGGCTCCACTTTCTGAGGAACTCGAAAACAAACAAACAGAATATTGCGTTTGTCTACTTGACTAGGCTATAATAATGTATGTGAAATTTATATAAATACGTGTTGATTTTCGTAATAAAACGATCTGTTGCCTGGCCTTTGTCTTCTGTTGTTACATGCATACCATGTCCTCGGGTGGAAGCCGAGTACTAAGCCATGAGTTTGACATCCAAAGGTGATGTGGAGGAGCTCTTGTGACGAGGAAGTGGAATTTTATGGGCAGTTATACGGACAGTTGAAAGGGGAAGCAGAGAACTGAGTGAAATAGGGATGTTCTTACGTGCTCCACTGGAAATTCTACAACTGGGCAATCATAATGATGATCGATAGTCTGTCTCCGAATCTCTAAAAAGGACTTGGAATTCACAAGAGCTCGTTTGTAGGAATTTGATTTGTTTCAAGTTTTGATCACGGATTGATATCACTTAGAGAACCACTGGAAAACCTGTCACAGAGTCTGGATAGCCAACTGTTTTGTTCCAGTCTAGGAATCATTGATGGTACTCACCCATTGGGGTTCAGACCCAGGACCTTGCGGTTAAAAGGTAAGCAAATTCAGACCCCATTGGCTGAGTCATCTGTGAACTTACCTTGTAACCGAAATAGCCAAACTACAAACTCAAGTGGGTGAGAGCCGATGAAGAGTCCCAAACTAGAACGAAACAGTTGGTTTTCCAGTACTCCCTGGTTTTCGAGGGTTCCCTGACTGATATCATTTGGTGATCTAACTTGAAATCCCAATAGTTTCTGCAAATGCAATCCACGCTAGTGACTGACCACACCAGGAAGTTACCCTGGGTAACAACAAGGGGGGCCCATCGAGTTGGTTGTGACGATTAATACCTACCGGTGACATTTCACTGGTGGTTGCGCTAAAATCAGAAATTGACAAAAGTCAGAATTCACGGTGACTGATTTCGGTCAGTGATGTCTGAATGGTCTACGACATTGCCCTTAAATTGGAAGGTCATTGATTCGCAATCCAATGAGTGAGTACAGCCGGTGATTTCCAAATGAGATGGAGACTGATGTAGAAATGCGGATCTTCATTATCCGTCTGTTCAATAATACTCTGTAGAAAGAATAATAAGATGGCACACAGAACAAACTGATTATTGTAATAACTACAGCTTTTGCAGAATAAACTGATACCACCATCTTTTATTTCGTTGCCTTCTCGTCAGCTGCTTACAGAGCAAAGACATTATTGAATATATCTACAAAAACAATCTCGACATACTTGCACAGAGATCATGTTAAGCAAAAATCAATCGATCAATATATGCATACAGTAATAATATATACATATATAAATATGCAATATTAAACACAATTCCGAACAACAATAATAATCATACACAATGGATACGTTTCAGCATTTCTCATTTGGATGAAAGAGGGATGCATCTCCTCGACACGAATCATGAGGTGGACGTCGAAATGTCGTCCAAAATTATTAATTGGCTAAAGATCTCGATTCTCCTTAAGTTTGCTGAAACCATTTCCATTAAGTGCCTGAAACCTAATTTATGCGTCCAGAAAGAATCGGTTATCAGTCTTTCTTTGCCCTGACTGGTAACTGGATATTTTCACGTCTCTTTCATCTGAATGCGAAATGCTAAAAGTTTCCATTGTGCATGATTATTATTGTTCGGAATAGTGTTTAATATTGCATATTTATATATGTATATATTTTTAGTGTATGTGTATATTGATCGATTGACTTTTGTTTTAAATGAACACTGTGCTTGTATGCTAAAATAATTTTTGTAGATACATGTAATAGTGTCTTTGCTCTGTAAGCACCTGACGAGAAGGCAACGAAATAAGTAATGATAGTACCACATTATTCTGCAAAAACTGTTGCTCTTGCTTTGTTCAAATTCATTCAGGGGAATAAATGTATGAAACTGATTATAATTCCACAATGATGACGATGTCCACAATAAAGAAATTGAATGACAGATGCCGAAAATTGCATTTCATAAGGCAATTCATAATAAATTTTCAAATAATGGTTTTGTAGGGATTTTGTTTGATTGCATGGAGAATTTTACTATGAGCTGACACCAGTTAGAGAACCGCTGGAAAACCTGGGAGTACTGAACAGTTGTTTCGTCAGCCTAGTCCAGGGCTCTTTAGCAGTACGCACCCACCGGGGTTCGAATCCAGGACCTTCTGATTACAAGGCGAGCTCGTAGACCATTGAGCCACTGAGGCCCGTGACCAGTAGGGTACAGCAGGTTGAAGATGAGGCAGTAACTCATCGAAGAAGACATTGCGAAGTGGTTGCGCTGTGTCATGAATTGGTGCAATTTAGAATTCAAAGACCGTTGGATAGGATCCCAGTGTCTCAATGGTCTACAAGCTCCCCTTGTAATCAGAAGGTCCTGGATTCCAACCCCGGTGTATGCGTACTGCCGAAGAATCCCAAACTAGGAGGAAATAGTTGTCCAGTACTCCCAGCTGGTTTTCCAGTGGTTCTCTAACTGATGTCAGCTCATAGTGAAATCCTCCATGCAATTCATAATAAACACTAACAGCCTGAGGCACAGAGGGTTACTCATTCTTTCAAAAGGAATTATTCATAAAAATTGAACGAAAATAATAAACTTACTGATTGTTCAATTGTCCTTGGATTTTGACATAATGTTTCAACTTTTATATTTGCTAAACCAGAAAGAAAGAAAGAAAGAAAGAAGGCGATTTCCCATCCCCCAAAAAGAGAAAGAAGGAAGAGACTACTGAAATTAAATTATAAATTGTTCAAACTATAATTATCCTAGAAATATCATTTGTTTTTTTTCATAAATAATAATTAAATTTACATATCGCAAGTAGTGTTTAAGTGAAGTAATTTGTTAACCTTGAAAATGTAAATGTAACGCGGAAATTTTGAATTAGTCGTGTTCTCTCAGCTGGTTGTAGATTTAACTGTGAAGCTTTCGTTGTCCCCCCTGCTAGACAACATCATCAGTGCCGGTTTTAGTATGGAATGAACTCATTTAAATTCTCTATTATTATTATATTATTATTAATAATCCCTTGGGTTCTGAATGGAATATAGGGCTTCGACAAGACATCTGCACTTTCTTCTGTTTTCTGTTTTCTTCTTCAGTTGGATCCACGATTGATTATAATCTCTATCATATCCTCCTCTCCAGACGATCTCCTTCATGTCACTATTGCACTGACGACCCACTTGTCTCTCTCCCCACTAAGATTCCACTTGAGTGATGACGTACATTGCATGCGATTTCATTAGACGGCCTCCTCAACGTATGCTCGATACACCCTTGTTTCCTCCTACACATTTTTGCTGAGCGATCGGCTCTTGCTTGAGTTGTTCCCACAGCTTCTTGTTGCCTCCAAAGCCTCAGGATGGTCGAGGGTAGGTGTCTTGCGCTGCGGGTTGGCCACCCCTCCGTACACCTCTTGAAATGCTTCCATACGACCGGGCGTCTTACATAGCCTATCCTGTGGAAGTCCTACTCACTGCCTTCACGTGGCGGAGGTGTTTTTCACCAAAGTGAGAGGGCAAAAGCGGATGCCCGGCGCTCTTCACCGGGTTGACTGTCCATTGGATGAAAGTCTAGGGGAGATGGCTAAACCCTGATTCCAAACCTCCAACGACTGGCGTATGAAGCTTACCGGAGCTCACCGGCAGACGTATGGACAAAGGGCTTATTGGATGCCCTGGATGACTGGCCCCATTCAAAAAGGCGCATGAACCGGACTCCTGTCACCGGCTGGCCGACAATGGATAGTGGACTCCCTACTCCACTCCTACTGCCTTGTAGGTCATACTTGGTTGTGTAAAGGCTAGAGCTGCACTCTCAAACAAAAGGCCGAGCGATGCTGGGGACATCACTCGTACCCAATTCCCATGAAACTTCATGGTTCATGAAGCCGGCTCATCCTCCCGTAGGAGATAGCCGAAGTAAAGTAAAGTAAGTAAGTACAGCTTCTTGTTACTAATTGTTTCTGGCCATTTGATCTTCAATATGGAGCTAAGACACCTGGTGATAAAAGTCTGCAATCTGTTGGAAATCCTTTTCATGACACGCTCTCCACGTTTCTGACCTGTATAGAAGAACTGACTGACATCACACTGATGTGTTGAAAGTCCGGATCTTATCCTTTATGCTAGCTGAGTGCAGATTTGTAAACGGGTTTCAGGTTGATGAAGGCGTACCTAATCTTTCCAATTCTGACTGGCTGGCTGGCTGGCTGGCACTGGCGTCTTCATCCACAGCACTACCCTGTGGTTGAAACGGTGCTTCCTTGCTAGATAAGTGATGGAAGTAACTTCTGTCGTATATTTCTTTAGTTGATGGAGAGTGGAGTGCTGATTGTTGTTGTTGCGGTTTGTCGGTTATCTTCATCACTTCTGTCTTCTTGCTCTATGTTCATCTACAGTCCTGTCTTCGCTACCACTTTCTTCAGCCAGTTTGTTGGTTTACACCTGTAAGTCTTCGAGTTTTTGTGACATTAGACATAAACCATCCACGGTGTAATCCAGATCATCTAGAGTCCTCTTATCAGTGGTCCATGGTATTCCTGTCTTTTCGCTTCCCACACACAGTCTACCGCATAATCCATTCTAATACAAGGAGGAATATCATCGTGGATGATAATAGGCAGACAGTCAGCTTGTTTTACTCTTGGATGCACTTCAAACGCCTCGCTGAGTGACTTTCCGTGACATTGAATGAGTTTGATAAAAAAAAAACTTGGGCACTGCAAATTAACTTGTGGTCAACGCTGTCTGTAGAAGGCCTTTTCGAAATCGATGAATTTGAGGTAATTAGCAGAATTAGTAGAATGCCAAATAAGTTCATTTCATACTAAAACCTGCTCTAAAGATGTTGTGCAGCAGGGACACGATGAAAGCTTCACAATTGAATCCACAACCAGCTCAGAGAACAGAACTAATTGAAAATTATCCATCTGAGCTACGAATCTTTTCCACGAACTTCATTTTTGTCACAACTATCTATTTGAATAAGGCATTAAGATGACAAATTTCGCGAGATGATATCATTAATATTGATTTTGTGACCAGACATTAATAAGTGTTTTGCAATGGATGATGCTGGATTTCTATTAAGATTAATCGCGTTAGGATTTTCGATATGATATTACTATGACTAGGAGAAATGATGGAACGATTCAGCGCTCTATTTTTCGTAAACAGACGTGGAGTGGACAATATCTTCATTTTACCAGTTTTGTTCCTATCCAGTATAAACGTTCCCTGGTGAAATGTTTGTTCTCAAGGGCTCGAAAAATATGTACGAGTGACACATTGATGGATGAGCTTCGATATATTCATTCAGTTTTATTAAATGATGGTTATCTGGAAAACTTTATCACTTGTCACAGTAAAGAAAGACCACATCTCGAAAAGACAGCTTCTGTACCAAAGAAAGCCATCTTTATTAATCTACCATTCAGGGGCGACCAGATTATGCAGTTGACAGCTCGAAGACTTAGGTCAGTCATCAAACGCACATTCTACGCCGCCACATCTCTTTTTCTCATTTGCCGAACATTTTCGATCCCTCTACCTACGATTAAAGGACGAAATTCTGTGGACTCTACTTCAAACTGTATCTACAAGTTCACCTGCAGCTGCGGTGACACCTATATAGGTAGAACTAACAGAATGTTCCAATGTCGTCGAAAAGAACATGTTCCAAAATGGCTAGTAAATCATATCGAAAATCCTAACGCGATTAATCTTAATAGAAATCCAGCATCATCCATTGCAAAACACTTATTAATGTCTGGTCACAAAATCAATATTAATGACTGTTTCACAATTATTTCACATAACTCTAATTCAAGGTTGGTTATTGAAGGTGATGGAAGCACTTTGGGGGATTAATCACATACAGCCTAAACTGTGTATACAAAAATCGATAGACTTCAATCTTCGCCTACCCTGGACTGCATGACCTATCTAAATATGATTGGTCATTAGTATGTACTTTTGTTTTTATTTAACTGAGTAATTATCACGAACTTTGTATACAATTGGTGGATGGTGGCTAGCAGTGGAATCGTTTGGTAACTCTGTTCTCTCCTGGTCCTCCCATGTCTTAGCAATCTCAAGTAAAATATTCCGCCTGACATTTTACATCAAGAAGTTAAGGCATTCGGGTATAACTCAACCCCTCATCCTACAGTTCATAAACTCTTGCATCCCACCCATTCTTCTTTATTGTTCACCCCTGCTTATTCTTTCCTGGTTCGCTGCTTAAAAAGGACTATATCAAAATTCGTAGAATGCTGAAGACGGTCAGTAGGATGAGTGGTGTCCCAGTGGACCACATAGTTAATGTTGTTATCGATAGACACTTGACTTCGTGCAATAAATTTGCTGAAGGGATTTTGTCTGACTTGAAGCATCCACTTTACCCTCAGCTTTCACCTTGCATCTCGTCCTCAGGTAGAACAAGGAGTAACTTCAGAGAACTGTATGCTCGCACGTCTAAGTACAGAAATTCTATGATACCATACTTGGCACATATTTTATGTGATAGTGAAAATAGTGTCCGGCAAGAATTAACTAACCTTTTTTCTTCTAGTAAATAAACAATTTCCTCCATCCATCCACCCATCATTATTTACCTTCAAGTTTTACTTTTATTATTTCTATTATATTTATGGTCCTATTACTTCTCTGTTTTACTCTCATAATTGCAAACACCAACTTATCTTTATGACGGCTGTAATCTTTGTTTTTCCCCTCACCGTCATCACCACGTAAAGGGAACATTATATTCAATATTTTTAAACATGTAAGATTTCTATGCCACATTGCCAATACTGTGTGAAGCAAGCCCATGGCAATTTTTCACTTGTATTATTATTATTATTACCCTAGCTGTTATCATTATTGTTGTCATTTCCATTTTATATGCTGCATGTTTTTGACATTACCCCTACTGTAAATGTGGAAAATTTTCCGTGTGACTAATTTTATTTATAATTTGAGGAAATTAGATGCAATAATATTGTGATTAATGCTGAAAATTCCATTCTGTATCACAAGTACTGCTTTTGGAATAAAGTAAATCATTATTATTCCAGTAACCCACGAATTTTGAAATCACTCAGCCTGCCATACCAGATATGTTTGCTATATCCGTATTATATGACTTAATATGTTTTTATGTACTAATGATGTATACAAGTTATTGACTGTCAGCATCCCAAGGACCTCATACAGAAAGTTTACATCGCCCTATGTGACTGACATCAACAGAAAGAGACTTCATGGATTAGTGATACATTTGTGGTCTGACCGCTGGCATAACAGTTATTCCCGCATACATCAACAGTGTTATTGTCTTTTAGTTGGTGTATGTTCGATTTTTAATCCATTCGACCAACTCACATACTGGTTTTATTGTTACGACTCCGCTATATGAGAAGGTGACAAAACTCTCATTTCTCTTTTCGCAACTTGTCATCAGTATTAAACTGACGACATTCCAATTTTCTATGAATAACTCTACAAATCAGCTGGGAAGACGAGGCGAATGAGCCATATTTACAACTCCTGTCCAAATGCATTATACCTTACTCAAGTATTGGTTTGTAGGAATTTCACCGGTTGATTACAGAATTTCATCATGAACTGACATCACTTGGCAAACCATTGGAAAACCAGCTAGGAGTACTGGACAGCTGTTTCATCCTATTGTTGGACTCTTCAAGAGTACTTATCCACAGCAAGGATTCGGACCCAGGACCTTCTGGTTCTGGGTTCAGTCAATAAAATCCCTACAAATCAATACTCAAATATGAATGAGATGCTCACTAACGACTGGCCCTATTCAAGTGGGTAGTTACCTAGGGTTCTAGGGGGAAGTTATGACCAGTAGGGTACAGAAGATAGGACGTCAGGACAAATACTTGCCGAAGAAGTCGGTTAGTGGTCGCGCTATGTCGTGAACTCGTAGAAGTTGGAATTCATACGCCAATGAATCGGGTGAGTGCGTACTGATGAAGAGTCCCAAAGTGATGGGACGAAACAGATGTCGAGTATTCCCCTAGAGTGTTTTCCAATGGTTCACAAACCTATGTCATATCATTATGAAATCCTGTAGGCACTATACCTTAGTTATCAAGCAGTTACTTGGTTTCCTGCTTAAACTATCAATCGATTGATCCATTTTGATTTCGATCGATCAAAAAGTAGAACTCTTGATCCGAAATTGTCATGTAAACTTGGAAGGATTTTAGCTTAGTGTAGTATGAGATAGGGGATGCGTATTGATGAAGAGTCTTAACAAGGGGACGAAACACTTTTACTAATTAAGCTCTATCAATATGTCACATGAAAGCTTTCCTAAGTGTCAAAAAAGCCACAGTGTGAACACATTTCAACTTACCTACTGCATGTATAATATTAGCCAACAATAGTCCATTGGATAAATCATTTTGTATATTTTCAATTAATTTTGAATAATTTGCCTTTTTTAAATAATAATTTGCCCAATCAGTATACAGCTGTAGATGATAAAAACAGTAAAACAAGAAACAAGAAAATCAAAACACTAAATAAGTAAGTAAGTCATTGAATGAGTCAGTGAGTGAGTGATTGAGTATTGAACACATTGAACGATGGACAAAGTTTAAAATTATTAAGTGGTGAATGTTTTCATGAATGCACATATGATTCCTTTTTAAAATAAACTTCTAAATAACTAACAAAGTGATGCCAAATCATAATTTAAACTAATTTTCAAGTAATCGATTTTTGTTTTACTAGATACTTTTTAAAATACCATTTTTAAAATTTAAAATTTAAATATGATATTGATTGATTGGTGATAGAAGGTAGCTGAAATAGAAATCAAGATATTTCAAGATATTGACAACTGCTGAGGTAGAATTGTTGTTATTAGATGGTAAGAGGAAACCGGCAGGACGTTCAACCTGACCTAAGTTTTGTGCTTGTTAATACTCGTCACCAAGGGGCTCATGTCCTGGCTTAGATTCGAACTCGTGTCGCCACGGTGGCCACATTGTAAACTTGACTGATAAAATTCAGTCTGCAGCAAAATTAAGGACTAGACACGAGCCTGAATAGCTCAGTGACAACGTCTCTGGCTACAGCACTCACTCACTGGTTGGTATGGGTCCGACTCTCAGAAGGGAACTGAGTTCCGGTAAGGTTGCAGACACACCGAGCTGACTGGTGAATGCCAGTGAAGACTTCCTGTCGATCGCCTTTAACCATTTAATAAAATTTAGATTTCACAGGCCACTCACTCCTACACCTCGTTTAGTGTGCTATCCAATAATAAGCTGGAGAAAAAGGGAGAGAAAGTTGGATGTGGGGCCAATAACCCCAACCCTCTCCAAAGAAACAACATCACCGTTTGTGAAATCCGAAGGCTTAGTGACTGAAGCCAACTGTTCCACTAATAATGCTTGGAATGAATTAAAGATATGTGTGAATAGGATTATATCGGACAGTTCGAATATTTGACTGCCTTCAACATAGAACTTCGTACAGAAGTCCACCATTTCAACTTACCCCACTCCAGATACCACACATAGAAAGAGAGATAAAAGAGGTTCAGCAGCAGGATAATAAGCGGAGATGTGAGGCGGAGAGAATAGTAACATGGAAAGCCAATAGGGTTTTATTATCCACAGCAAATCATAGAGATTGAATGCATCTTCGCCTGCCATGGAGAATGATTTTGAGCCAATTCATCAAATGTCTAAAGACACTGGTTTTTAGAATCCTGAGGACTCCAACAAGGAAGTCTGCACCTTGCAAAGTAGCTGGCTCCAACTGACTGTTAAAGATTTCATCGATTGGTGCTGGGTTTTGGTTTGACCATCACTAGCTTTTCTCCCAACCTGATCCTACACCAGGTAACAATGACCGTCAAAGAACGTTGTCGCTAGGATTTGTGTTGCGCAAGCCTAGCAGTCTTGATCGATCTAGCTTCATAACCTCATTGACTGACCATATCTTCCACCTACCAAACACTCACTCAGCGCCTAAACTCAATATTACCCACCTAATTATACTACCTGACATGGGAGATAGAACGCAGACACCTATGATGAAAGACAGCTAGCCAGGCTTTTCACATCTTTCACTTTAAGTGGCCATTTCTTACTCCCTGGCATAAAGGAAAACGGAGTTAGGTGGTGAGCGATATATAAACGCCCCTTGGCTGATAGCCAGATATGATGTTTTCTAAGCCAGAGATGGTGTAAGTTAGCAGATGTCAGACGAGCTAAGATTTCTTCACCAATCAGACAGTCCGCTGGGGTTGATACAATGTTCCATCTAAATGAGTGAAGTGGTCAACACGCTTTACCACTCCACCCACTCCTTATTTTTAACCTAGGGATATTGAACAGTATTCAACCCTGTATGGATTTATTCGCCTAAAAACACAAAGTCTTAATGAAGAAACCGTGTTTTCAAAATACTCACTTCCCGATAAAAATCAATGCTAAAGGTTGTTTTAGAAACTTTGATAATTACCATTTCACTTATTGTTATTGTTCCCTTGGGTTCCAAGTGAAACACAGGGCCTCAACAGTGCACTTTCACTGTTGTCTTCTCCTGTCAGCAGCCTTTTTCAGCTGGTTCCACAGTGACCCACAAGCTTTTGTTGGTTCCTCCATTTCACAATCTAAATTATCGTTTACCATTCTGGTTCTAATTGAGAGCCTCTTGTGTGAGTGAGTGAGTGTGTGTGTGTATGACGTAACTCAACAATTTCCTCAACATGCGTTCATCAATTCATTTCCTTTACCTTCTATGAAATCATAGAAGCGATAGCAATCCACATTAGAAAATCTTAAACTCTGCATCCAGAAAGAGGCTCGTTCAGTTAGTGAGGTTGCAATTGACTTGATTTGTCCTAAAACTTGATATGGAGTGTTTGTTAATGCTCATTTTTTTAGTTCTTCGACTGTAACTGCTCTTCTTTAACGCCTTCTCTGTTTTTATGACACTGCTCATAACCTGATTCACCTTCATTTGGAGTTGGATTCCTGTAATCAATTCTGTCTGTTACATTACATCACTGAATTTACCAATTTTTAATTTTGTTCTAGTTTCTACTTGTTTAATGCTTTCATTATTAGGTAAATGGTATGTAAAACTACTCACTATCTGTAAACAAGAAGCCACTTTACACATACGACTACAATTCAAGGGCGATATACCAAGTGAGATAATTACGAAGAAATGAAGAAAATCGGTTCAAAGAACTTTTAATGCTGGTGAACTACACGTCTTATTCTCTACACGAACGATGGTGCTACCTCGACTGAAAGATGAAGTACCTAGACTAGACTAGCCACTTCAAATTGTATTTACCGATTCAACTACGCTTTCGGTGGAGCGAGTTATATTGACCGTTGCTCTAGGAACTTGATTTTTTGTGCTCACTCGAGAACATCTCCAAGTATGGCTAAATGAAGGTGTAGTGGAAACCATTAACAGTTCGATATTGAACCATCTGGTGCAAACCAGCCGGCCACAAAGCCAGCCAGCATTGAAGAATCCTTCTCTATCATTTATCGGGTACCAAATAAATTGCCAAAATCATCATCGAAGCACCACATGCTCCAAACACCAGAGGCTATTGCAATTCACGACAAACAACCAATGCTGTGTGTTCAAAAGAAGCAAGTACAGCTAGTCACTACCACTACCCTGGCCTTCAGTGGAGACTTTGAATTCATGAATTTGTATTATTATCTTTCCTAATTCTTCTGACATTCATTTTATTGTTGTGTTGATGCTATTCAGCTGTAATCTATCAATGTGATTATTGATTCAATATTATTTAAACAGCAGCATTAATGTTGTTCATAACACTAATTCATTCATTCACTGTAATGTATATATAAGTGTAGAACTTGATGATGAAGTTATGGAAAAGAGTACTCTTTTTTCAGTATTCATTCTTTTTAAAACTTAAAATATTAATGATACATATTTGAAAATATTCCTTTTGTTGCTATGACAATTTACTGGTAATGTATGCGGTTGTAGGGTTTGAGAATGATATCTTTGAAAAAACAGATACTCTTTGCTGAATGTCTTCTCTTTTTCATATGACTCAATGAAGACTTTTAAGTTTCTGTATGTTTGTTGGGAGATAGATTTTTGATGTAAATTAATGAATGGTGCTGAGCATTTAAATCCAGAATAAACGTGGCTCAAGTGGTCTAGTGGATAACGCCCTGGCGTTTGAAACTATGAGTACTAGGTTAAAGCCTAAGAGGAAAGATCATCGCTCACCGACTGAGGAATGCAGGTACATCCAGATGTGTGACGAGCCCCGAATAGGACGAAATGCGCATCGTGGTTTCCAATGTGTTATTCACCATCCACCAATTTGCTTCATGTTAAATAATCAGACATCTCCGAAGCATCCCCACAATGAGCTGCCATATCAACCTGAGGCCGACCACTTTGATCCAACCAATCTACGGGAATGCTAACCTGAATTAAAAATGAAAGGTTCCTAGTTGGTTAGTAGTCAAAGATTCTTATTGCTTATCATTTCTGGTTCAACATTCATTCTTCAGTATCTAAATAAGGCATTTTTCGATGAAAGTATTCAGCAGCTTTAGGTGCGTCGTTGACCAAGTCTCTCAAGTATATTGAAGTACTGACCTCATTCAGACTTAGTTCCATATGCTGACTGCAGTAAATTTTCACACTAAATAATAAACTACTTATAAGTAGTATAAATCACCTTTAAAATTTATCAGTTCTCACTATGAGAATTCTCAGATTTGTTGTCATCCTGATTAGAAGCCGGATAAATGAAGGACTTAAGTCGATAAAATTAAGTGTGTGCTCAGCAAAATAAGGTGACAGACAGATGGATACACAGGCAGATCTTCAACTAGGGATATAAACATTAGGGTGGATTAAGGAAGGAGACACACGCTTCGTTAGGGTACTTTACTAACTCCTCCCACCAGCACCACCCCCTTCCAAGTCAATTTAGTCATATCAGATAGACAGGATGACTCCATATATTCTCAGATGAGCATAAATAGGTCTTTTATTTCTTCTTAGAGGAAAATTCTTTTGCCTTCACATAGGTTTTCTTTGTATTTGCCTAGACTGTGGTCAACCCTGAGAACTTCTCCTGTGACAATCTGTTGGATATTTCATAGAAGTGAAATTTGACAAAAGAGGAAAGGGGAAATCATGAACTGTGGGGGTGGAACTTCGTGAATAGTGGTGATCATTTTCTAATCAAGTTTTCTTTATAGAACACCTATCTACACATATAGACCAGGTATCATTACATTCATATTATTAGGTAGATACAATAGCGTGTTTCTCTGGTGCGATCCCTTATACAGGATCTCCAGATACAACAGAAACTCACAGAGTGTATCACTCGGTGTGAAACATGTTCCCTCTAAACACATACCTAGTGGTCAGCATATTGAAAGCCATTCATATTAGCACCTGAATACAGGTAGATCATTTCTGTAGGACG